GCACACCTCCCCCACCCCCCCCCGCCTTCCCCCCGACACCCGACGTTGCCACTTTACGAGGCGGGAACGTCGGGCGGTCATAGGGGCGGCGGGTCTGGCAGAGCGCCCCACGTCGAAAAGCGGCGTTCGCTGGTGTACTTCTGCTTCGGGTCGCACCGAGGAACGCCCCGCGCATGCGCAACGACATGCGCATCGGAGGCGTACGCCCCGCCGTGAAATGCCCGACGGTGCGCGGGGCGCGCCGATGACTTGCCTTCGTTATGGAGCGTTTGAGGGCGCGATCGGGTGCGCAGGTCCCGCTGCCACGCCCCTGGCGATGACGCCCCAAGGGCGGCTGTCGCCGTAGGCGAACGGTGCAGAGTGCGCCCAGAGAAAGCGTACACCGCTGGGAATGGCCCGACAGGGGGGGGGGGGGGGCGGGCGCCCCGAGAAAGGGGGGTGGTCTTAATGCTACGGGGCGTGCGAGGACGGATTCCTGCTCGGGCGGGCCCTAGGGACGCGCCCATGGCACCCCAGTCGGGTAAATCAAATGGGGCGCAGTGTGCGCGGAGGGAGGTTGGTCAGGAGGGGGAGGGCGCTTCCACCCGCGCGCGATTGCATGTGCAGCGGGGGTATGTAGTTGCTGAGGTAAGTATGCAGAGGCGCCGAAGAATTGCTCTCGGCAGGGCGCGTTCGGCAGGGAAACTTCAGGTCCGCGGCCCCCAGTGGAGTCGCGTTGCTGTGAGTCAGAGTGAGGGGGGCCGGGCGGTCAATCACTGTCCCTGGGTGCGTGGCTGAAGTGGGGATCCGCGGTGAGGATTCTGCTGCTGCTGCTGCTGCTGCTGCTGCTGCTTGTCCCCCGCCCGCGCCCCGCCCGCGACCCGCCCGCGACCCGCCCGCGACCCACCCCGTGGCCCACCCCGCGACCCACCCGCGACCCACCCGCGACCCACCCCGCGACCCACCCCGCGACCCACCCGCGACCCACCCGCGACGACGCACCTTGCGACCCACCCCGCGCCCGCCCCCTCGCTCTTATCCGCAAATGCGGGGTGCTACGTCTGGTTTGTTCTGCTGGCGAAGCTAATGGCAATGCAACGCCGCGCGCGGTTTGCGCTGCGGCGCCCGCCCATCGACCCTCCCTCCCCCATGCCCCCCCCCCCCCCCTCCCCTACCCACACACACGCACGCGCACACGCACAGAATCCCACCACACGCACGCACGCACACACACACACACACACGCACGCACACACCCACACACACACACCTCCACACACACACACACACACACACACACACACACACACACACACACACACACACACACGCACACACACACACACACACACACACACGCGCACACGTATACACACACACACCCCTCCCACCGACCACATAACACCCGACGTTGCGATTTTGCTGAGCTGGAACGTCGGCCCGTCATAATGGCGTTGGGTCTGGCAGCGTGCCCCCCGTCGAAAGGCGGGGCCTTTGAAACTGCCAACCCCGCATGATTTTTGAAATATTGAACTCGCGATTCGCGATGGGTAATGCTTGCTTTTTCAAAAACCCTTCATATTCGCAATCCTTCTCCCTCTCCGCGCCATCCTCTCCGTGTTCTTGGGCCTCGATGATCCCGCGGCTTTTTTTTTGAGCAATCGCGGGCCCTCTGTGGAAGAGCCACGCGGGCGCCGCCGATTGCAATCCCGCGCCAAACCAATAATTGCCCAGGCTCGCAAACCCTCCGACGAGCGGCCTTTGAGGGCGTTGCATGGAAGTCTCGGGCGGGGCCCGTCCGACGGGGGGGGGGAGGGGGCGGTGGCAGGGGGCGCAGCAGGAGGAGCAGGAGGAGGAAGAGGAAGTGAACACATAGGAGGTGGAGGACGGGGGCGGGGCGAGGATGGGGGGCGGGCGGGGCGGAGGCGGTGGAGGAGGAGGAGGAGGACGGAGAATGGGGGGCGCCGAGCGCCGAACGCTCGTAGCTTTTGGCTCGGGCCCCTCGCGGCCCCCTCGGGCCCCGCGCTGCCCCGTGGCGGGCCCTCGCACGGGGCGCCCAATGGAGCCCCCACCTGGCTGGACGCAGCCCGCGCCAACGACTGTGCCTTTTGTGCCGCCGCCCATCCCAGAGCAGCACGTGCCGCGTGTGGTGCCGCCAAAAGTGCCGCATGTGGCGCAGCCAATTGTGGTCCCGCCTCGGAGCCCCGCCGCGGGCCCGCGGCCGCCGTGCACGGCACCGCCCGCGAGGATGCTCGCCAAGGAGAAGAATCCAGGGCCACCGCCCAAGCCCGCCGAGCCCAAGGCAGCGACTTCGCCGCCCGAGCCCGCGCCCGTGGCCCAGCCACCGCCCAAGCAGGGCGCGCCTAAGGCAGCGGTTTTGCCAGCCGCTGCCGCGCAAACGCCCAAGGTTGCCGCGAAGGCCGCAGTGTTGCCCCCAGAGTTCGCGTCCACGTCCGCGTGGGAGTCAGCTGCCAAAGATGGCGATGAAGCTCAGGACGTCGAGATGGCGGCCGACTGGCCCGATTGGTACACGTCCGTGCAGGAAGAGCATCGCGCCTTCGAGTCCTGTTTCGAGGAAGCGGTCGCTGCGTGGACGGAGAGCAGGCGCGCGTGGCCACGCTTCAAAATCGCCACGCGCGATATCGGCGAGCAGCAGGCGCTCGAGGATGCCTGCCAGTGGTACAACCACTTTTGGAACACATACATTGAGCAGGCCACGGGCGGGGGAGATCTCGCCGACGACAGCCCGCGCGCCGATGGCGTCCTCATGGGCCCACGTCGGCGCGAGGGCTTTCGCGTGCGTTTCCTCTTCTCCGCCCACTGTAGGTGGACGCTGAGTTGGATGAGGAGTTTCAGGGGGCGAACTTGGGTGAGCCGTACACATCAGGATTGCCTCGCTTGGCCCAAAACGGGGGGGACGGCGAGGAACAGAAGGGCGAGGAGGAGGCAGGGGGAGCGAGGATAATGCAGGAGGGGCAGGAGGCAGGCCGTGGATTGCTGGCGATTCGCACCACCACCAACCCTTCTTAGAAAGATGCCCCGGCGAATATCATTGACCAGGGCAACGGCGCAATGCGTAGCCCAACCAATGGTTCTGAGATGTGGGGAGTTGGGCCAGGGCGCAGGCGGGGACGAGGGTGGGGGGAGGGCGATGGGGGGACATCGGCGCAAATGGTCAGCGAGGGGTGGTGAGGGGCATGTGGGTGGGGGCGGGGTGGATGACAAGTACGCATGAGCACCGAGCTTCTCGGGGATGCATTTGGAAGGCCATCTGGAGGTATACGTAGCACCCCGCAATTGCGGATAAGAGTGAGGGGGCGGGCGCGGGGTGGGTCGCAGGGTGTGTCGTCGCGGGTGAGTCGCGGGTGGGTCGCGGGGTGGGTCGCGGGCGGGTCGCGGGCGGGTCGCGGGTGGGTCGCGAGGCGGGTCGCGAGGTGGGTCGCGGGTGGGTCGCGGGCGGGTCGCGGGCGGGTCGCGGGCGGGGGTCGCGGGGGGGACGACGACAACAAAACAACAGGCAGCAGCAGCAGCAGCAGAGTCCTCACCGCGGATCCCCACTTCAGCAACGCACTCAGGGACAGTGAATGACCGTTCGGGCCCCCTCAGCTCTGGCCCCCTCACTCTGATCGGGATGAATAGGTGCGCATTGCGGTCCGTCCTGAAATAGCCTCTTGGGGGGGAAACTTCCATCTGAGGGTCAACTTGGGTCCGTTGGGGGGGGGGACCTGGGGGGTTTTACTTGGGCTGTATTGGGGGGGCGTCGTTCATAGAACATAGCTCTTACGCACCACTTCCCCCGCTTGGGCACGCAGCGTAGCCGCATGGGGCTTCCTTCGCGACCCTTTCATGCGCCCTTGGGCGTTTCAGGGCCGATTGGGGCCATCTCGGGTTTCTGTCGGGCCCCCTCGGCAATTCTTGGAGCCGCCTCGAGACGCCTAAAGTTTTGCGGTTGCGAACGTGCGATTGCAAACCGATTGTGTTTCGGATAGGCGTCAGCCTTTCGTTGCGTTGGGGTGGGCTAGATTGCCGCTCGGAGGCGTCATGGGAGGGCTTCTCGAGGCCGCGCTGGGCGCCATATGGATGCAGTTTGGGCTGCGTTGGATCACATTGGAGACCTGATTGAGCCATCTCGGGGAACCGTCCTGGGCCATCTTGGACGCCCCCAGCCGTTTGCGACCCCCTCCCCTTCCCGCCCCCCTCCGTCCAGACACGGGGGGAGGGGGGCTGGGGGTGGGCGGGGGGGGGAGGCGGGGCGGCGGGGGCAGCGCCGAAGTGGAAGTCGTAGTGGGAAGAGGAACCGCTCTGCAGCGCCAGCCCAGAGCAACGCACCACCGCCACCCCAAACGTCGGAAAGATCCTAGTGTACCCTTTCATTCTAGAGCTGTTGTTACTTGTTGGTCAAGCCTGCAGTCTCACACAGCGCGTTTCACATGTTGGCGGTCAGAACCATCATTACGCCTTGGTCAGGCTTCACCACGCCCTCCCCCCAGGACTGCCCCAGGCCCTCGCGGGCCCTTCTCAGAGGTTGCTCGGGCGCCCAGACAGCCAGAATATGTTTTGCTTGCGACGCGGGGGGTAAGGTGGATGCCCATTCCCCCAGGGCCTCACGGCCCGCGTGGCCCCCAAGTGTGTCCCAAGATTGCACTCCCCCAAGAAGCGCCCAGGAAGCCCCTAATATACACCAGCCCTCGATGGTAGGTTCGTGTCCATTCCAGGCGCCACGCTCACTATGTGTTAGCATCGGTGATGTTCTTAACGCTGTTTCGGCTTCCCAGAACGATTGTAAGCCCTTCTGCGATAGCTTCATTTCAGATATTGAAGTGGGTTTTGCGACATTCTTTCACAGGAGCGCTCGGCTAAGATGAGCGATGCTGGTTCGACGGCGGCGCCGTCACTAGCTCCTTCGGCTGGGCGGGCATCCCAGCGCGCGGCTTCCGCCGCGGGTCCGAGGGGTCGCGGCGGCGGGGCCGCAGGGGTCTCTCGCCCCCGCGCCAAGGGCCGCGGCAGGGCGGCGTCGGAAGGCGGGCAGCCGCCAGCCAAGAAGGCGAAGCAGTTCGGCAAGTGCAAGTGCTCAGCGTGCGGGACCAACAGTAACAACTGCACCGATCCTTGGCCGAATCGGGCACCGCACCCGAGGACGGGCCTCATGGTGGATTTCGACGACAAGTGTGCGAAGTGTTGGAAGCGTTTCTCCAAGGGCGGCTTCCACATGTACCAGACCTGGGATGAGTATTGCGAGTGCGCCCAGATCCCCGAGTCGGCGACGGCCTTGGCAGAGGTCGACAAGAACCTGGATGCGGCAACCGACGAGCGAGACTACAGGCCGCATACCATCCAGATGCAGGACTCGGCGGGCTGGATGCTGAGAAAGGACTTCCAGGTTCTCGACACGACGGAGTTTACCTCGGAGATGGGGGGGCCGCCCCATTCGAAGATGCCATCGTGCCCCTCCGTCGAGGTTCGCAAGCAGGGCAGTGCCAGTGCCGATACGTTCTACCTCTTCGAGCACCCACAAACGCCTGGTCGCACGCTCAGCGTCTTCTCGAAGTTCTCTGCGTTGGACTCCTGCGTGCACCTGAGCGCCGACCAGCACATGGCGAAAGACATGAGCCAGCAGGCCATGGAGAAGGTGTTAGCCGACGCGAGCGCTTCGTCATGCATCTCCTTGGTGACGCCGCAGACCAAAGTTCCGCAGCTGGCGAACTTCAGCGCCCACTTCAAGGAGGAGCGCGCGCGGGCAGCAAAAGCCGCAGCCGATAAGGCCAGGCTCAAGCGGGAGAGCAGCAACCCAGACACCGTGGGCGACCCCCAGCAGCCGCGCACGTACATCGAGGACGGCAACGAGCTCCCCGTCGAGCCTGCGCCCCTGATCGCAGTCGGCGAAGATGTCAGGAGCAGCAGCGCAGCTGCTGCGGCCGCCTCGTCACCGCCTGGCGCTGCTTCAGCGGCCGCCGCGGCGCACGCCCCAGACCCTTCAGAGCACCGAAGCCGCAGCCCGCCGACGCGCCTGCAACAGTGCGACAGCCGCTCGGAATGTGGCGACACAGCGTTGAGCGCCTTTTCTGATGACATCGGAAATTGCGGGGCTGGCTCTGGCAAGAAACCTACCCGTGGGCACGACGCCAACTACTACATCGCTGAGTTGGACTTGCAGGCCATTGTGGACAAGGAGAAGCGGGGCGTCCAAGAGCACCATGCGAGGATCCTGCTCACGAACCCCAAGCTCACGGAACATGATCGCGACCGGTTGCACAATCACCTCTTGCTGGTGGACCACGCGAAGAGGCTGAGCAACGACAACGTGGAGAACCTGATGCTTGATGTTTTCAACGCTGCAGTGGATGAGGTCATCATCGGCAAAGGGGTTACGCCCACGCGCGATTTAGAGCTGGCCGCCCTGAAGATCAAGCTGAAGGAGCTCGTGCCCGCGATGACCTCTGAGCGGTCGATCTGGCGTCTGCTCGACATCTTGCGCCCCTGGAAATTGCCAGAGGACCCCCGCTTCAACTGCAAAGAGCCGATCCTCGCTTGTACGCAACTGTCTTACGCTGACAACGCAACGTTCTTGACGAACGTATTGGCGAACCAAGTCATCAACCCCCTCGTGCGGAAAGGCGAGAGCGGGAGGGAGGACGTGACGCGCTTCGCGAAGGCCTTGACAGGCTTTCTGAGGCTGTCTGACGACCACACTGAACACATCGACGATATCATATTGCACGCTCTCCTGGGCTTCCGCGCCTTGTCATCGGCTTTGACAGCGCTGCTGACATCCACGTTGACAGACAAAGTTGAGCACGTGGACGACCTGCGCCAGCTCCACAAGTACTTCGCAAACCCTGGCAAGTCGCTGTTCGGGAGCGTCTCCCAGGCAATGAAGCGGTCAGAGTGGTACGCTTCACGGCTCAACTCGGTTGTCCAGAAAGAAGAGTGCATCGCGGAGTTGTCGGACACCATGTCGGTCGGGATTGAAGAGATGAGTCAGGTGTTGGACCCGACCGCCGACGCGCGGATCATCGAGAAGGTGAACAAGCTCTCATGCGTGTGCCAGACCCTGACGAAGGTTCAGATGAAGCTGGAGTCGGAATTCTCGACGCCGTACAACGAGATCATCGAGACGCACGTTGGGACGGTGATGGCCACGCTCGCGGCCGAGATCCAGGGCAAGAATATCGCCGCCGATAAGCTTCCCGCTCTGAGCGGTTGGATCAGGGTGGTCGCTTTCGCATTTCCTCAAAATGAGATTGTGAACACCATGTCGATTGAGTGTGCATCCTATTCGACGGAGTTGCGGAAGGACGGTCTCGAGTCGACCTTGACGAACTCCTTGGACGAGTTCAAAGGCATTGGCGACGATGCGGACTGCGAGAAATTCGATGGGCCGTCGAAGGCGTTGCTCGAGGCGGCGAACGCAGCAGTTGGCATCAAACCGTCGTCGGCGATTGTGACCTCCATCGAGGCGGTAGCCCCGACGATCGTGGATGTCGCCACGACGTTCCCGAGGCAGCACGGCAAGATGACGCTGGATCTCGAGACGGCGCTGGGGAAGGTAGCCCCGCAGGTTGCGGAGAAGGTCAAGGCAGGCGGCTACATGCTGAACAACTTCTTGAACCTGCATAGCACGATGCTCAACTACGACACCAACTGCGGCAAGGAGAAGGAGCTGCTCGCCAGCGCAGCGTTCAACAGGACGGCATTCAACGAGTTGCGCTCGACCATCGTCCATTTCCAATCGATGGCCAATGAAACAGCGGCAATGGATATGTACGCCGCGCGTGCGTCGGAGATGGTTCAGTCGGGGAAGGTCGCCCTGATGGCGTTCGAGCGCGGCAAGGCAGAGACCGCCAAAGCCTCGCTGACGACCATGCTCGCCAACACCCGCCTCGACGATGGCACACCGTTCGGAAAGATCAAGTTCAAGAACTTCCAGGCCCTCTCCGACAAAGTGACGTCCCTCACCGACAAAGTGCAGCCCCAGGAGCTGAAGCAGTTGCATGAGGGCGTGGCGAATGCAAACAAGGGGCTGAAGGATATTGTGGAGTTTTTCGGCGAAAAGTACCCGCAGCACGAGGGCGATGAGAATGTGAGTATTGTTGCTGAGGCGAAGGCCTTCAACATCACGAGCGCCACGGTGGCGTTGATCAAGAACCCGCTGAACGACAGAGTGCAGCACCACAGGGCGATGGCGAAGCAGCAGAAGGCAGCCACCGAGAACGAGGCCGTGAACAAGGCGCTGCACAACCTCGTCGTTGCCCAGCTCGCCAAGAGCACGAAGCAGACGACTTGAGGTGGGTGCGGCACGGCGGCGTGCGCAGGTGGATTCGGCGCCCGCGGCGCTGGATATCTTTTGTAGTGGAAGCAATCACCGCCATATTAATCCACCGCCCCGTTTTTCTTCCTGGGATCTCTCTCGGGCCGCATGGGGCCGTCCTGGGGCCACATTGGGCCCGTCCTGGGCCGCCTTTGGCAGTCTCGGACCGTCTTGTGTCGTCGTGGGGCGTTCCCGTGTGGAGCCAGGGCCACGTTGGATCTCGCTTGGGCCGTCTAGGGAGCATCTTGGACGTTCTCCTGCGGCCGCTTCGGAGCTTACTAAGGTCATACGGGCTAGTCTTGGAAACGTTTGGGGCACTGGAGGCCTCTTGGGCTCTCGGGGTGCATCGGGGGTTCCCTTTTGCGAAGCAGGCGACGGGCCAAGTGCTGCAAATGCGACGTTTGAGTTGGCGCCCGATTCTGTTTCCCCCGCCTCGGCGAGGAGAGAGGGATTCAATGCGATAGACGGGGGTGGGAGGAATGGGGGAGGATGTCAGATGTGGCGCGAGCGCACCTAGCTTGCCCTCTCCCCTCTCCTTTTGCCCCCGTCCGCCCTCCCTCCCCCGTCGTTCCTCCATCCTCCTTCGCCCCATCCATTCCCCTTTACCCCTCTCTTCTCTCATTTCATCCGATTCTCCCCCCCCTCTCTCCCCCTTCCACACTCTTCCTTTCGCCCCCCCGCCCCTGCCCTATCCTCGCCCGCTCTCCCCCTTCCCCCCCTCTTCGTTTTCGTTTCAAGCCACTGGGGAGAGTTCGAACGCATTGGGCATAACTGTTGCTCTGCGTGTTTTATTTGGTCCCGCGGGCCTGCGAGTGCCTGCGGAGGGCGCCGCAGCGCGTCGCCAGCTGAACCGCGCAGCTCAACCATGTGAACTTTCCCATTGGTCGGGGGCAAATCTGTTGAACTCTGTTTCCAACTCAAAACGCAACTTTTTTATGGTTTTCAACGAACGTCGGTTTCAACTATGTTTCCGACTCTTTTCCAACTCCGCAAGATTTCGCCGATCAGGCCTCTGTAGGAGGCGTTTGGCCCCTCAACCCCAGCCAGTCAGAAGCACCGCGCAAGCCTTCGGCACGGCGCCCGGGCAAAACGCGCACTCACACATGCATGGGCGCACGCGCCCTGCCGCGCGGCAGGCCAGCGATGCGCCGACAGGACGCAGCACGTAGCAAGGGGAGAGGGGAGGAGCACGCGGGGCAGGGTCAGGAGAGTCAGAGGCAACCTTCTTCCCGTAAGCTTGATTGCGCCAGCTTGCACACATAATGAGATCATTGCAGCACATGGCGGCCGCGCTTCTGGACCAAGCGCCCCTGTCTCGGCGCAGCGCGCTCCGGCTCGCACACCAAGAGCCTTAAACAGCTGTCGCAAGGCAAACGCGCAACTTTTTCGCACGATTGCACGCGCCTTCGGCGCAGCGTCTCGCTCGGGGGAACAGCTTGCGCGAGCGATGAAACTGTGGCGTTTGAAACTCTAGAACAGCGCGCGTGCTGGATCCTCAGAGTGCGTCGGAGACACGATGCTCGAGAACCATTGAATATGTTACGGTCTGTTTGCGATGCCCATAAACATTCCAAGTTGCATGCCAGCTTGTGCACCACGATGGCGTCAAACAAGCGAATGTTCCAAGACTTGATGCTACAGGCGTGTTCCCTGCACTTGCGCAGCAATCTGAATATGCCCCTGGCTTCCCCCAGCCGCCCTGCAATCTCCAACGTGATCTGAGCAGCGTCGTGCAGAAATCCGCCCACGTGAACTGCTCGTTGGATTCTTTTAGGTGGCTGCGTAGACGGGCCTCGCCCCCCCCCCCCCCCCCCCCCCCCTCGCTGTTCATTGCCATTGCAGCGGTTTCCCATCGCTGAACCGAGGCCGCAATGCATCCCCGCACCAGTCGTGAGATCCAAGAGAATATGTAGTTTCAGCGGGCGCGCGCGCGCGAGCATCGTGTCGTCGGCGCATAGCATGTCACTGCACGCCACGGATATGGCGCGGCACATGTCGTCAACGCCGAAGAACGTCACGCTTTGCATGAAAATGGAAAGATATGAAGACAGAGGGCGCCCTTGAGCTGCACCTGCAAGTCGTTGCCTCATTGTAGCGCCCCCGACTGGACCTTTCAATGCAACGCGGCGCGTTCTGTGTAAGGCGCGGGCTCCGGAATCCCAAATCTCGCCAGCGTCTTGATCTGCGCGTCGCGCTAGATCCCATCAAAGCCTTGGCCCAATCGAATAACACGGCGATCAATCCAGGCTCCTTCGCGCACTGGGCGGCGCCCATCGCGCGGCGGGCAATTGAAATGCATCAGAAGTACTGCGACCCAGTTTGAAACCGAACTGTGTTGGTCGTAATCGGCCCTCTGCTCCTCCTCGCTGCAATCATTTTTCATCTTCCAGGCTGGCGCCTTGTAGCCCGCCGGAAGAGAGGAGATTGGCCGGACATGTCATGGTGAACTCGCGCGCCCTTTCTTGACCGGCAGCGCCGCTGTTGCAATTTCGCCACGAATCTGGTATCTTTGCTTTCCCAACATTTCTGGCGCATTCCCTGCGCATTCTTACATGCAGTAGTCGCGAGACGAAGTAGTTTCCAAAATTATGGGGCGACCCCGTCGCGCCCTGCCGCTTCGCCAACGGCAAGGGCCTTCAGCGCTGCGGTCAGATCGCCCACGATGACACTATTGGAGTTCACGGGCAGCTGCTCTCCCACATTTGCATTGTCCTCTCGGTGTATTCCGGCGTGCTTGATGCTCTGCTCATTTTCGAAATAATATGCCAATGCATGTGCGCGTTGGTCGCTGTCGTCTGGCTGCCCCGATTCATTTGCGATGCCAACGGGAGTCTTGGCAGGTGCCTTCCCGGGTGCTTTGGCTGCAGCCCGCGGCCCCCCAGCGACCTGTGCATCCAAAAACTTGCGTTTGTATTGCCGCGTGCCTTTCCTGATCGCCTTGCCGGGTCGATGATGCCCCCTCTGTCTCCGCCCCCTCGCGCGTCGTCTCTGTCCCGGAGTAGCGCCAGCGCGCGCGGAGAAATTATGCGTCGCTGGGGGCCTCGAACAGGCGCCGCTGCAACTCGCAATGCCTCGAGCATGGCCCCTGCCAGGGCGTCCGCATGACCGCCCAGAGACAATGCATTTGCGTCGCTTTGGAGCGCAGCGCCAAAGCTATCACAATACTGGTTCCCACTACTGGGCGCGGACCGCAGCGTTTTCGAACAACTTCGCGGCGCGGCAGTTGTGAGCCGCTGCCCCCCAAGCTCCGCGCCCAGCAAAACCGCCAGCCGAAAGTGGCGCGCTGGCAGTGCAGCCCTCCTGTTTGTCCAGACGCCCTCAATGATTGGAAGAGCGTCGGCGTCCAAACAATATTCCAGTTGCGCGGAATATGCGTTCGCGATGATGCTGGCTGGCCAAGCGCCCGGGGCAGGAGCGCAATGCGACGCCAGGTGTTCGACCGGGCGGTTGAAGCGCGCATTTGCAATTGTCGATCGCGTTTCCCCGGCGCGTCTCAATCAGCAGCTCCCCGTTTGAAAGAGGGGTCGCATTGCAAACGTACTCCCCCATGCGTCCTCTTCCCCTGGTCGCCGCTTCGCCAATCTGGTGATGAAGCCCCCCCAGGGCGATCGCGATGTCGCGCTTGCCGCGCTGCGCCCGTGCCCCCCCGACGTCGTCGAACCATTTTTTCGAGCGTCGCAATCTTTTCCAGCGCGCGGAGCATGCGCGCTCATAAGATTGAGAACTCTTCCCATTGCCTTGATCCTGAGAGTTGCAAGGCGGCCCCCCAACAATCCGAAGCCGATCGCAGAATGGATTGCTTTCGGGGCGATCAAGCAACCCGCGACAGAGTAAAGGTAGCTTGTATTTTCTGTTCGGGCTCCACATGCGATTGCCAAGTACCCATCGTGCACATGACGCATCGATTCTGCAACGTGCGTCTCTTGCGTGCAAAGAAAAACCATATCGTTCATTTCATGTGACGTTGGACCTCGGTCTGCTCGCCGCGGTTTGTACCGGGCCCGCGGACATTCCAAGTGGGGGCCGCCTGTTTTCTCGAGGGTTTACATGATCGCCGATTGCAGCCATATTTGTCCGCCCTCGATTGTTTCCAACGGCCTGCATGCATGTTGGCATCAGTGTGTGCGCCGTCGTTGGAAGATATCGCTGAAAAAGGAAATGGCGAAACAAACGGGATGTCGGTAGCTTTGCCCTGTCCCGAGAAAGTCGGCGCAGCGGCGCGCTTGGGGCTGGCAGGCTGGCCGACGCCCTGCCGGCTCATGAACTGGTGGATGGGGCCGTCGGGGGCGGGAGGCGGAGAAAAAACATCAATAGGTGGTCAAGGTCTTTTCGCAAAGGGTCCACAATATTCTTGAGATCTTCCTGTGAAGCGCCGTGCTGCTTGATGGCACGGATGTCACTCTTGATCGGCTCCCGACGCTTCCATGACATTGTCTTGGAACTATTGTTGGCGCAGTCGTGTAAGTGAATATGCCCTTTTGTGTGGAGCTTGAGATGTTGCCGGTTGAACTGGCTCTGGTGGTTCCAAGTGCCCCTCGCCCAACCCATCCATCTCGTCGAACGGGTTGTTGGCCCGAACGGTTCTTGCTGCAGGTGTAGCCGGTGACGTGGGAGAGGACGGCGAAGTCATGCTGTGTTTCTCTGCCGTGAACAAATGCCTGGCAGGGGTACCTGAAGAAGGCATGAAGAATTCAGAGTGTAAAGTGTGATCAGTATGGGAAGGAAGAAGACATGTAATCAGTTTGAGAAGGGTCCCTGGTTACAGCGGGAGGTTCTGTGCAATATTGTGAGGCACCCCTGGGTAAACGCGCGCCCCGAGGCTTGAGCCATCTTGAGGTCTCGTGGTGATCTGCGTAAGACGTACCTCCGCTGGGCCTCTCAGGAGCCCGAAACAAGTGGCGACAGTTTCGCAAATCGTGGCGCACCAGGGGACGGCGAGGTCTCGCCGTGATCTGATTAAGACGTACCTCCGCTGG